TGGTCTGGGCTGCAGATGCTGACTTACCTGAGCATATGCCATGATATTACCTGTGCTGTGTTTTCACAGAACAGTCTGGGGCTTTTTTTAGGAGCCATGAGGACAATGGAAAGTAACCAAACATGGTCCTGCTGTGAAAGTTAGTGTGACACTCTCCAGCCCTGCAGAGCAGAAGGAGACTCTTCCCAAGAACAGGGACAGCCTCTTGGCTGCTCCCACAGACCAGCGCTCCCCACCTGGCACTCTGATGCTGCTGTGCACCTGCTTCCATACAGTCCGTCTCCCTAAACTGCCCCAAGGGTCAAGTCAGATTAGTACTGCTGCCTCTTCTGTAGGCATTTATGTGTCAGTTCATGGTTATACTATTGAACCCTGTAATTCCAGTGCCATGAAATCCCCCCATGTACAGCCTGTGAGACCGCTCCTGCACAGCATGGCGCAGTCAAAACAGAACACCACAGTTATCTGCTTAAAATAATAGAAACTGGTTCTGAGCCTGCAGTTAGCAAGTATTTAAAACTGAAAAGGTCCTCTGGTGACTTCCAGGGCCTGGACTTTTCATCTGCTGCAATCACTGCTCCTCAGGCACCATGTTTCAGTTGTTTCTGTTGAGGAAGGGAAACTCCAGGCACATACTGTCCCCTCCTCAGCTGCTGCTCTCTTGGGCTTGTAAGGCTCACCAATAGCAATACCAGCCCATGCCATCTTCCTCTGGAGAAGGAGGATTTCAGTTAACATTTTTACAGAGGAGAGATACTGAGAGGTGAGGAGTCACAACCTAGGAGAGGTTTCTGCATCTTGAGCAGTGTGATAGCTTGCCCTTCTCTGTTGGCTTCCAGTGCAACTTCCCCCTCCCAGAGCAGTGGAAGGAGAAGAGCACTGAACTGAATGAAAAGTGTTATCTTTCAGTGTTATCAGAGTTATCATTTTGCAGTTTAATAGCCACTGTGAGACTCAGGTCAGTAAAACTTGTGCAGGGCACAAGGGTTTTTGTTAAACAGCAGAGGACTGGGAGCACGAGGCCATCCCTCCCTTGCATGGTTACGTGCCTGGCTTGCTTCTCTGCCAAGTCTAAGTGGGAGGAAAGAATGAACTCTGGTAAGTTGAAGCACAACAAGCTTTAAAGTGGTACATAGCTCCTGGAGAAGATGTGGGAGGAGAAGCAGCTAGTGCGTAAGTGGCACTGAAATAGCAGTGAAAGGTTGGTGACAATCCACCAGCCTGCAAACACATGGAAGAGGTATGTGTATTTGCTGCAGTTTTTGCTGAAATATGTTGAGTTTCAAGCATCTCTGTTATTTATATGGTTTGTGGTGGTGTTATACACAAAACTCTCTGGCCACATCAGTCTTTCTCTTGCTCGTATAAACACATGCACACACAGGCTGTCCTCTGCAGATATAGATTGACTAGTCCTAAAGCCCTGTATATGTGCAGGCTGAGAGCACTGAAATGTTTCAGGGGTCTTGCTAGAGCTGTCACAAGCTAGCTTGCTTTCTTACGTATCTGCCTGCACATATAGTACATTTCAAAAGTTCAGGAGGTGTTTATGAGCAACCTGGGTTCTGATTCTTCCACATGCATTTGTTGAGAGCAAACATCCACCCAGATTGTCCTATCTAATTAAATGGAAATACACCCATCACTGCAAGTAGGGGAAGGAGCAGGAGGGATGCAGACCTCCCTCCCCTGGGGCCAGTGCAAAGAGCATTCTTGGAATGATCCCCCCCTTCTAGATAACCTGTCCCCAAACCATGCACTGGGCAATACTGGATGTTGTTTTGAGAACAGGCAATGTAAAAAAGAGGAATGAAAGGATTAAAAACTTGTGGTTTGAATCACATTAAACACTTCTTGATTTTCTTAAAAAAAAAAAAAAAACCCAAAACATACAAAACTTTAGAGGCCAGCAGACAATGGGTTGAACATGAACTCTTACCGTTGAGGGTTGCAGAGAATCTATACCAAGGTAAATCAAGCAGGCTAGCAGTAATATCCACTGAGCAGCCGCGGACACGAGGTGCAGCGTGTTCCTAACCTGTCCTCTTTGCCAGCTCTTCCACTCATCCTCTGCATGTTCCTTTTCACTATCCATCTGGTCTTGATTTCTCGGCTCTGTATCTGGCTGTCCTTCCATCTCAGCCACACTGACAGCAACTGCTGAGGAAGGGGCCAGGAGCACAGCAGGGGCCTGGAGGACCAGGGGCAGATGAGCTAGGTGCTCCTGTCCCAGGAGCAGAGATGAAGTGAAGACAGTGCCTTCAGGAGACTGCTTTATGCACACAGAGGAGCAGGCGGGGAACTTCTTTGTGACTAATCTGAATTTCCCCTTCCTTCCTTTCTTTCATTCTTTTCTTTTTTCTTTTTTTCTTTTTTCTTTTTTCTTTTTTGTGTGGAAGGGTGTGAATGTGGGGGCTGATGTATTGCATCCCAGTTCAGTTTTGAGTAAGGACCTTTGAAAGTAGATGTGTTTGTGTCTTTCGTAGCTTCAGCTGCGGATGCCTTGTTATGTGATGTTTCCAACAATAGCTAAGAGTTGGGTGGACAGTGCTTGTCTTCTCTCAGTCCTTTGTCAGTATAAGCTCTTATCTTTCTGTTCAGCCTCAGACGAAGGGTGTACAGGCCTGGCTCCCTCCCTTATTAGCAGTATGTCACAGAATCACAGAATGGTAGGGGTTGGAAGGGATCTCAGGAGATCATCTAGTCCAACCCCCCTGCCAAAGCAGGATACCTACACCAGGTTGCACAGGAAAGTGTCCAGGCGGGTTTTGAACATCTCCAGAGATGGAGACTCTACAACCTCTCTGGGCAGCCTGTCCCAGTGCTCCAACACCCTCACAGTAAAGGGTATACCATGTAATGCTGCTGAAATCTCTTTTCTGTAAAGAAGCAATGAATAGGAAGGGATGTGGGATAAGCATAAAGAATGGGAGTGAAAATATGCACTTGCCATTTCTCTTCACCTTTGTCTTCTGCCTTTAAAGCTATGGGATGCTGCGTGAAGTCTAAGAGGGAGAAAATGGAGAAGTACTCGGGGAACATCCCTTTTTGCACATACTGAAACCTGCTGTCCAGGGAACGCGCTCAGAGACGCACCCTTGGGCCATCCAAACTTCCCTTCTGGAAAAAGACTGCCTGTCCCTTGGGACACCAGCACCTCCCCTTTGCTTGGTCTCCTCATGACATTTGCTGGTGAAACACAGAGCTGCTAAATATCAGTTGTCTGCAGCAGGGACCATCTCCTGTGCTTATTTTGGGTGACAGGCTTTGCGTCCTTTCTAGGGGCCGTCCAGCACC